CGTAATCCAACCACCTTGACCTATGTGTGATCTCTCATATCTGTATTCTCCATATGGTGTGATTTTTGGGTTCCCCAATAAGAAAAAGTTGTTATGACCAAGTTGTGACGCATAGCTGGTTTCTGCAGTGGGCTTTGTGATTGACAGCTCAAAGCAGAAAAAAAATAATTTAAATTCCTAAGTAACAATATAGGATTAAAAGCTGTTCGAAAAGGTGTGATTTCTATTTACAGAATCAATGGCATATGAGATGTTCCTCTCTTCTTTTCCTCCGGCGCACCTGTTATATGCTCCTGCTTTAACCTCTCTCTTCTCTCCTCCTGATGAGACCCTCCCCCTCCATCCTGCCGCTCCACTTCCCCCACTCGGAGCAGGTGTTGGAGGAAGTCATAGTCTTATCAGACAATCTCAACACTAACTATCTCTACATAATGACAGATGTCTGAGCTTTTGTGGTTCGATCAACAATCTATCTGATACAGTATTTTTATTTCAGCTTCATGTTCAGTGCCACTAGTGAATGTCTGATTCTGTACACGTTTACGTTTGCATTTATAACTAGCCTATACTTATTAATGGAAATTAAAAAATAAATCCATCATGTACTACAATGTTGAGGAGTAAGTTCAATAAAAATCTGAAGCTCATAACACCTGTGCATTGTTGGTTTAATGAAAATAAATTAAAATAGGATTGAAATTTGAAAATCTTAATCATTCAACTTTTTTCCAGAAAATTTGTTATAAATTAGTTATAAAGAAAAAATGTCCATCAAACAAAAAGTCATTCTGACATGGCAGCAGCTTGTATGATCTAGTAGGCAAGTGGCTGTGTGTCATGCCTGCACAGTTTGAGCACTAGCTGGTGAAGGCATAATTAGTATATTGTTTGAACTTGCACACTTGGCCCTTGTATGGTCGTGTCAGGCCAGGGCCCCCACACTCTGAGAGGCCTGTGCGATCAGTGCTAACATATATATGCCTTCCGTCCTTGTGATTTAAACTAACACCAGAGCCTCACAGCTCGGCACAAAGGAGCCAGCCAATGCATTGTGCTATTCCCAAGAAAGCCACCCACAGACGTTTGTTTCTACAGCGAGACTGGCGGCCCACAGCCACGCAGGCTTTCTCCACTGGCTCGCACAAGGCGGACACTCTGTGCTGCTGCGCCAAGGACAGGAAGTGCTCGCAGAGGGACAGGAAGTGCTCACCGCTGCAGTAGCCGTGGCTGGAACTGAGATAATGCCATTGTGTAAGCAAGCCCAGTGACCTCTCCCTGAGCGCCGAGTCCACAGGCTGGCGTCGAGAGCCTGGGCCCCCACCCAGCTCCAGACTCCCCAGGCACGGGGCGGGGGTCCTGCTGGAGGGACAGGCCGGAGGGGAGGGGGTATTAGCCTGTCACCTCCTCCCCTCCTCTGGGCCCACTATGCACCTCACCTTGCAGCGGAAATGTGGCCAAGACTCCAGACTTTATGACTTCTTCCATCAAAAGCCAGGATTCAAGCTCCCACACTGCCGCAAGACAGAGACATAGGCAGCCAGACCTTGCTAAAGCTCACACCCTGAAACAAAGACACACAAACTGAGTCAGGAGAGAAGGGGAAAACCGTATCAGGTCATCAGCTGTGAAACACGATGACAGTATTATAGTCCAGATCCTGTCCTGTCTTGGCCTGGACCTCCATCCACCCCTCTGGCTCCAGCCCCACAAGGGTGTCCACTGGAGTCCCGGAGGGTGCTTAGGTCTCTCCCATATTTCTGTCAGCCCTTTTAGACATGTCAAAATAAAGTAGTGGTCAAACTGCAGAGTGATCCACGAGGAGAAAAGACGGAGCTGACAGGTTCAGGTCTGCTGCCTCTGATAAGAGTTGTTCATATTTGGATTTCTGACCATAAACAGAGACTTCATTCACTCCCATAAACACATCATGTTTTATGGTGCACAATTCACATGTACTATAGGCACTTTAGTCTCAGATACTCAACAAGGACCTTTTGACCATTACAAACACTGACCATTTCAGCAAATACTTTTTTCTGAATTATTTTGACTGTTCAATAAACAATATTTATTTCTGTAAAAATGTTCACGCTCAAGCTCAGACTGTATTCTTAGAAAATAGTATGAAAAAGTAATTGAAAAGTCTGAAGTCCATGTTGGCAGAGAAATACTTGGTGAAATGCAGAAAATTTTACATAAAGATGAACCAAACATGCACAAATACACCGACAAAAATTAAAATGAGAAACTACAAACATACCATAAAATTATTGAACAGCTGCTCTATAAAATCAAAGTTTAAATTCAAATGTTGAAATTTTTGATAGACAGTCTGTTTTCCATCAGTAAAAAGGTTTTTATGCCGTTGCTATTGATCTATTTATGTTTTATATATGTACAAGTGCAAACCACCGGCAAACTAAAACTAAATCCATCTAATGGAATTCTCTAAACTCTGACATTTTCCTAAATAGTTTTTGGTCCTGTGATAGTTTGCCCTATGAGTCTTGTCTGAGAAACCAGCGCCCACCAGTATCAGTGGCTTGTGTGGTTTGGAAGTGTTTATTTACGCTTTCAGTTATTTTGTTGATTTCACGTTGCAATACCTCAATTAATGCCCCTTTATCTAGAAGAACTCATTAGACTGAAATCAAAGGCAGACGTTGAGCAATACACGACCATGCGTAAAACTGAGAAGGGACAGGCCATTTACTTCAACCGCAAAACTAATTCAAAACGTTTAACACAAGTGAAAGCCTCTCTGGTCATCACTGCATAACTGAACAAACTCAGCGATTAACTCAAGGAAACAGAAAACAAGGCTTCATATAAATGAAGTGCTTAACGTGTGCCCTTGTATAATACTAAGCGTTTTCATTACTTCATTTTTACTTTCTTGCTCTTTGAGGCTGTGTGTGAGCAATAAATCACTTACATCTCACAGCATGTGTCCTCAGAAGGTCTCGTCGCCACAAACAAGGGTCGAAGGCGGGCTATGGCCAAACTTTTTACACCTTTGCGGTAGTGGGAACTCCCCCTGCGCTCTGATTGGCTCCCAGTGAGTTTATAGCACACCAACATCGAGACAGAGCCGCGAGTATTCATTCTGCATCTCTCTGGCCCTAAGCTCCTACAAGTGGCTGATGGATGTGAGTCAGCTCGTTTCATTCTACTTTGAAAACAAGGATAACTTTCACTGATACTTGCGCTGAACACGTGTCCAGAAAAGCGCGCAGCAGAGACGTTGGCTGTCCAAAACCAACAGCTGCTGGACAGAGATGAGCAGTCCCGATGCGGGGTACGCCAGCGACGATCAAACCCAGGCAAGGTGTGCGATGTCAGTCATGATGCCTGGAATGGGACACTGTCAGTGGGCTGATCCTCTCAGTCCTCTCGGGGACGCCAAAGTAAAAAGCGAGACGTGCGCGGCTGCCTCGAGCACTCACAACCGAGGGAAGAGCGAGCCTCGGATCCGGAGGCCTATGAACGCGTTTATGGTCTGGGCCAAGGATGAGCGGAAGAGATTGGCGCAGCAAAACCCAGACCTGCACAACGCGGAGCTCAGCAAAATGTTGGGTAAGCATCTTTATTTAGGCTATATTATTTTTGCAATTATGGTAGTATGTGTACAAACATATTTAGGATGATCAGGAAACTCTAAATATACTTTAGTCTTGGGTCTTTATTCAACCTAAATCTGATCTGTCCTAAGACCTATACTACATTAATAACATTATAATAATGATCTGCAAAACAGATATGTAAAGTTACAGAGATGAATAAAAAACCTATCCATGCTCCCTACAAGGCAAGAGGCTATTTTAGTGAGCATCAGCCGACCTGATCCACTGTCAAGTATTGGCTGGCCTACTGATGCACACTTTTCTTTTGACCCCACAGGGAAGTCGTGGAAGGCCCTTCCTGTGACAGAGAAGCAGCCGTTTGTGGAGGAGGCCGAGCGCCTGCGGGTGCAGCACATGCAGGATCACCCCAACTACAAGTACAGGCCACGCAGGCGGAAACAGGTCAAGAGGATTAAGAGGCTGGACTCAGGCTTCCTGGTGCATGGGCCCCCAGAGCACCAGGGCCTGTCAGGGGACGGCAGGGTGTGTGTGGAGGCGCTCGGCCTGGGCTACCATGAGCACAACTTCCAGCTTCCCCCTCAACCCATGGGTCACTACCGGGACGCTCAGGCTTACGAGAGCTACAGTCTCCCCACACCGGACACATCTCCACTGGACGCTGTGGAGCCTGACTCCATGTTCTTCCCTCCACACTCTCAAGAGGACTGCCACATGATGCCATACCCCTACCACACGCAAGGGCCTGAGTACCAGCCACAGGAGCCTCTCTCAACCCACCACCCAAACCTCAATTTCTCCCGGCACTCCTCAGGTCAGGAGCAGCCTCCACAGCCCCCTGCACCCCCGACCCTTCCCCCTTCTTACATGGGATGCCCCAACCCTTTAACCATGTATTACAATCAGCCCAGCCACCATAAGCGGCACCCAGCAGCAGGGCAGCTCTCCCCCCCTCCAGATCCCCACTCAGCTGAGACAGTGGAGCACATGCCCCACTCCGAGCTGCTGTCGGAGGTGGACCGCAGTGAGTTTGAGCAGTACTTGAGCTCGTCTGGGGTGGCAGCGCGTGCAGACATGACAGGCCTCCCCTACGCGCCACACGACTCTGGAATGCAAGGACCAGAGAGCCTCACATCATCAGTGCTGTCAGACGCCACCACAGCTGTGTATTACTGTAGCTACAACAACTCCTAACCTCCGCAGCCTGCCGCATGGACACTTGATCTGACCTCAAATCTCTGTAGCTGCATTTGAACAAAAATATCTCTTTATTTTTGTAATTGTTTTCTTACCAGTTCCACAGAAGGTCACTGAGATTTTCCATGGAGCTTTGGACAAGACTGATGTAGCTTGATGTATGCAAAACAGCCATAGGACATTTTGGAACTGAATAGTTTTTATCTTTTAAGCAGGGACATGATTAATGATAATAGCTAATGTACAGTCACTATTTTAAGTGTTTGTATATATGAAATGTTTTTATACTTTTGCACTTTTGTGAAATAAATTTCAAAAATAGATCTTATTTGTGGCTATTGTTTCATATCATCATATCATATAATTTTTTTCCATGAATTTTACTATTTCATTTTTATTAAACGAGTTAAAGCATTTTCTTCTCTACAGCAAACTGTACTAAAATTGATAGATTTCATACTTTTATAGAATCGTCACCTGTCCCATTCTTGACTTCCTCAGAACAGAAGTATAAGGCCAGTGTTACTCATGGCGCCATGTTTTCGCTGTGTGAGAGGGCAGTTTATGGTCCGGACATCCTGCTCATACGGAATTTGGTCTCTTCTGATTAATAGAAGCGCAATTAAAATTCTCTGTCATTTTCTCTGAACAGCAACATTCTTTTAACATTTTGGTCCAATGTCAGTTACATTATGAAAGTGAGGATAACAGTTTTATGTCTGCAGTCTGTTGGAATACTTTATGGTTAAAAATTAGATCGCACCAAATGTGAATAAGTGATATGCATTTAGAGCCAGAGATCCCCGTTTTATAAATAGACTTTTTCCTATTTTAAAAGGAAGAGGTGCTTCTTGTGGGTCAACCACTTTGACCTGACGTCTACATTTAGCATGCCAGAGGAAACATGCCCCATATACACCTTCATACATGATTGTTTTGTCAAAGTAGTGGAGGTAAATAGTGCAGGACCTTCCCACACTCTCACGGTGATGTCACCTCTGTCTGATCTGATCACTGGGTGGCCTGAGTGCTTGTCCCATCACCTACCCTGTGGCCCCTCCAGGTCGTGAGGCAGAATCCACTGTAATTGGTGTGAATGTGTTTAGATGAAGTCTGTGGCTGGTGCTGACTTTATCCCTCTGTTATTCCAGCTAATGGGAGTATAACAAGGGTTCAGGCTATAGTCCCAAGGCTCTGGGGCGGTGGGTGAGGGTCACCTGTATGGACCCCTGCTGTGTGGGACATGATCCTATCTTGCTGCATGCTAATGCAGATGATCTTTAACAAGGAAGAGCACGTTCAGACAATCTAAAGTTTTATCTAAGCACACAGGAAGCAATGGGCAAGATTTAACCAAGATCTGAGTAATGGAAGAAGAGAAAAAACTAAAGTTGTGGTAAGCCTGTAAAGGCTGTAGCATTTTTGTACAGTTCAATTGAGTTATTGATGTTTTTGGACTACTCGTAGGACTGTTTTAGCGGTGGTTTTCAGGCTAAATTCACAAAATGGACATTTGATCATTTTGTAACTATATCCTGCTATATTTTAAGAGAAATCTTCAAACACTATTAGCTTAATTTAGCAGCCCTCAATCTTTATTAGCCTAGGTATTATTGACCTATAGCCTATGTTGTCTTATATCAGCAATAGGCTACAGCCTAACCTATATGTTAAAATATTAAAGTAGGCTTACCAGCCAAAATATAGAGTCCATGCTATTCAGCCTAATTATTTTTCATCATGAGGAGTGTGCTCATTTTATTATGTTAATAATATTGAGGCCTAATAGCAGAATGTTGTAAGCCTAGTTTAACAAGCAACTCTTTTTCTGTGAATTAGCAATTACCACTTAAATCTGCGAGCAATTATGTTCAGCAAAGCAGCGACACGTAGACCTGTGCCTTTGCACGAAACGTCAACTCTCAGTCATGGTGTTTTTAAATATCTTTCTACTCCAGCAGCTTCCAGACTTTGAGTTCGAGTTGTAACTGGCAGAACCTGGCTGAGTCACGTTAGCTTGTCCTGATTTTACGGTAGGCTAGGTAAGCCTACGCTCTAGGTGAATAGACAGGCTCCACTTCAGGAGTAGGCCTCCATTAGCAGCTAGGCTAAACTCACCTGTAGCCTCCAGGTGCAAAAGATTAACGCCGATTAGCCTGATCTATAACAATAGACCACGGAGCGCGAGCCAACAGGAGCACATCAGGTAGGGAAGAGCACGTGGACTCATGTGTAATAATACATTCATGCGTGTATGTTATAATACAAATAAATAATAATAAAAGGGGGAAAAAAACATAAAATAAAGACAAATAATGGAAAATGGACAAATTACCAATAAAACCCCACAGTGGAGAAAGTTACTTGAATGTTTAAATGTTCCAATCCAGCCTACGGAATTAAGTCACGAATTAAGATCAAATTCTTAAGCAGAAAAACTGCTTGCATAGGCTATGATATGTAAGTTTAGGACATGTTTTCTTACTATGGCACTGGGGGACTATAGAATGCAAAGATTAGTTGAGTGAAAACTAATTTTAAAACAGTATTTCTACCATTTACTTTTTTCAGAACAAGAGAAGCTGTGCATTGAAGACCCCGGTGCAGTTGAAGCCTCAGTGGAGTTGAAGGTACACGGTGAACCTGATTAAGTCATTGATAGGAGATTGTGGTGCAGCCCACAGGACAGCTGCAGGAGAGGGTGTGTCCTTTGTCTCCGCACTCATAATCCCGGCCATATGCTGTCCCTCTCTGGCCTGACTGACGTCTTTTATGGTCTCAGCCTGTCACACTACCAGCTCCACCAGCGCCATCCAGTTGTGCTCCCACTAGCCTATATATAGTTCCAATCTCCTCTCCACGCTTTGACTCATTCCACTGTTTTCCTTGGCACATTGAAAAACATTTTGTGAGACACTAATAAAATGAACAGGTAGTCTTAATTTTAATTCCGCTAGGATGTATCTCGATGTGTTAAAAATCACAAAGATTATTCATAAAGATATATATTGCACTTCCATAAGGTGAAAATTATTATATGGTTTTTCATTAGCACTGGCTTTACGTTGCTGCTGGATGATAAAACCACTTTTTGCTTGGTATTTGGAAAATAGATAAACCCTGGAAGCAGGGATTAAGATTGTGAATCTAGGTATAAGTATCACCGTTACATGTATTTAGGTATATATATATATATATATATATATATATATATATATATATATATATATATATATATATATATATATATATATATATATATATATATATATATATTTAGTATAAATAATAATATAAATAATAATTACAATCAGGGATTCAAAGTTTTACCAAAAGCTAACTTGATGCACTAATAGACTTTTCCTTCAAGTACAATGTAAAATTAATATGTAAAATTAATCTGACAACTCAGAAATATTTGAATTTCAAAAAAATCTATTCACCTTCAGAGTCACAGGTCACATCTTATGAAGAGTTATTAAGAATTTGTTTACATTTTTCAGAGTTTATTCAAGAAGAAGAAGACGTTTTTCAAATTCTTGTAAAGACAATAGTCTATATACTGTACCAGAGTGTTTCCAACAGGAACAGTGACATTGCTAACATGTGCTGCTGCAGAGGCATTTGTGTCACAGACTAGTTTCTAGTTTGGATCTGTGTGGCATTCAGGACAGTTTTTCAGCCTGTGCTCGAGAGCCATGAGCGTACTGTAGTCTACAGCAGCAACTTCTCTTCAGAACTCTCACCGTATCACCAACTGCAAGGACACTTCTGAGGTAGGAGTTTGAATCAATAAGTGTACTGTAGAGACTAAATTATATGATATTGTAATAATAATAATAATAATAATAATAATAACAATAATAACAATAATAATAATAATAATAATAATAATAATTATTATTATTATTATTATTATTATTATTATTATTATTATTAATTAATTAATAATAATAATAATACGTATAAGTTTAAAAGTAATAATAATAATAATAATAATAATAAAGTATAAGTATAAAAGTAAACATTACATTGTGTTAATAGAAAATCTTTCAACACTTAACAGTCTTTAAAGAGCTTGTATCTGTAAATAATAAAAGACACAGCAATTTTAATATGATTTTAACAAATTACATTTTTTGTTTGGATTCCTCAATTCTTTATATAATAATATATAATGACACTGTCAGTTGATATGAATTTTGCAGCACTGAGTGACAGTACATAAGACAAGTCAAGTCACTATGATCTGCTGAGCTTTCTTAACAAATGTAGCCCATTGTGTGTCCTGTTTTGTTTCTTTTTGCAGATCTTAGAGCTGTCTGCAGAGCACCTGTCTGCACTTCCTCCCAGACCCAGCTCCTGTTTGCTCCATCCATGAAAGATTGGCTGGGAACATCCTCTGTCCGAGGGGAAGTGGCCTCTGTGAAATTCACACCACTTTGCACCATTTTTGGATCACCGTTAGAACTTCCTTAAAATCCAACTCAATCTAAATCTCTAAATAAAGGTAGACGGGGCATGAAGGGCATCGCCTAGGTCAAGTGGTTTGAACATTTTATTATTATTAACTTTGGTCTTGGAGATCAAATTTGATTTGTGTGATCCCGGAAGTAGGACCATTTTTATAATAGAAAATATTGTTAATTTTACATGCTGCGATGAAGGCAGCTACAGAACAATATCTAGACAGTGTTTGGTATTTTTCTTTCAATAAACACAGTCTGTCTGAGAGCTGTCTGTAGTGCAGGAAGTTTATTTATGCTCTTGTTATTGGATTATGAACTTCAAACAAATATCAAACACATTTTTACTGCAATAGCAAACACTGCACTTCCAGTGAAAAGCTGACCAATGTGCTCCTGTCTCCTTTTCGGACCTCTGATCAGCTACCTCGCATAGCAATATTTGGCCTTTACATGTTCCTATTTGGATGCTATAAGAGGAAATGGTTTGATTAGTTGAATTATTAGTCAAAGTTTTCAAAAAGTAGTAACACTTTTGCAGTACCTTTTGTATCCACCAGGGGTCAGCTCTGCACAGGACACGTAGTGTTGGGGATCACACTTAACAGGTTCAGACCTTTAATGTGCAGCTTATCACCAGGAAAAAAGTTTTTGATTGTGGAAAAATATTGGCCACTAAAACTCATTATTAAGCCTCTCTCTTAATGTGGAGATGAGGTACCATTCTCATCTCCAGGTAGCATTAAT